ATGTTACTTGTTTTATCTCTACTTGCACTAGTAGTAGTATATAGATTGCTATTGTGTTGAGTATCCTTCACTTCATATTACACTGTGCAGTCGCACACTGTGTTACTCGTTTTATCTCTACTTGCACTACAGTAGTATAGAGATAGCTATTGTATAGAGTATCCTTCACTTTATATTACACTGTGCAGTCGCATACCATGTTACTTGTATATAGATTGCTATTGTGTTGAGTGTCCCTCACTTTATATTATACTGTGCAGTCGCATGTCATGGTACTTGTTTTATCTCTACATGCACTGCAGTAGTACATAGTCTCCTATTTTTTGAGTCTCCTATCCTGCCTGATTTGCAATACAAGATTACTTGGAAAGTACACTCCCCCTTATCACTTGCGGTTCACCACAGCGTTAGGGTTTGCGAAACACACTCTCATTCGTCAAAGGCTATTGATGCGCTGTCCTGTGGTGCTGGTACATTGTAATCGAGATATTGATATGTGAATGTGGTCTAGGAACAAGTTTTGCTCTATGTTGACTTCCTTCGCTGGTCAGTTACGGGAAGAGTATTGACTGCATCACATGTTCTACTTTCACGTACTGTCGACCTAAGAGAGGTCGCTGCAATAAGTATCGTATAGTATCTCGTAGATTCTCTGCGATTAGTATATTAAACCTACCTACCACACAACCCTCTTTGATTCCGGAATATACACAACCAGTGCGTAGACGGCAACCTTGCCATGTCTGTGATGAAGTCAACGACTGTGGCTAAGCTATTGGCCATTGCCATTATCTCATTGTCGGGTCTATGGGTACTGGTCACATCCTCGGAGAGAAGGAATGTTGTTTTCTCTACGAAGGACTGGTCAGGTTAGTATGTGTTGTGTACCCCTGACTGTACTTGTAGGTGCATATTGATGAAACACGGGAATTTGTGTGTGGTTTTCATGTACAACAATAGCCAATTTTATCTTAGTAAGATGTTTGCATAACGGATGTCCCTGCGTTTAACGCGTGTGTTGCGGTATAGACTATGCTCTGCAACAAACACACCGACATCTGGTCACGCATGTCTTCAGATCTATACCTCTCTGAGCTAGTATCTGAGCAACTGACAATTCTCGTAGATCAACATCATCCTCGGTCACTATCTGGATGAACCAACGGCTGGCTTTTTGCAGGCGTCGTTTGTTGTGAACGGTGAAAATCTATATCCGTCTTCCTCAATTGCAGGTGCATTCTCCACCATATGAATATATATGCAGTAATATATATGTAGTCATATATATGTAGTAATATATATGTCGTAATATATATGTATTAAAATATGTAGTAATATATATGTAGTAATATATATGCAGTAACATATATGTAGTAATATATATGTAGTTATATATATGTAGTAATATATATGTAGTAATATATATGTAGTAATATATATGTAATAATATATATGTAGTAATATATATGTAGTAATAAATATGTAGTAATATATATTTAGTAATATATATGTTGTAATATATATGTAGTAATACATATGTAGTAATATATATGTAGTTATATATATGTTGTAATATATATGTAGTAATGTATATGTAGTAATAAATATGTAGTAATATATTTGTAGTAATATGTATGTAGTAATATATATGTAGTAGTTTATATGTAGTACAATATATGTAGTAATATATATGTAGTAATACATATGTAGTAATATATATGTAGTATCATTCCATTCCACCGCACTGCCCTCGGCCTATCAACGACCAGGCTCTGTCTGCAATGCACCACAACACCGTCTGACAGCAATTGCGAAAGTAGACTTGGTTGTCATTCGAGAACTGTTCTTTCCCGTTCTACACAGGGGTTATAAAATCACTTGCATCTAAACACAACCCTATTTTACACCTGAGAGTAGTTGATAATGTACATTTTACACGACCCTACCACCCACCTGCAGCCACGGACACACACACACACACCTGTTTAACTCTTTCTATCTTCCACGCGTGCAGATGCGGACATATCACCCACAGCTCTCAGCAATGCGGTCGTTGCCAGTCTGTGGGCGTATGACGGATGGAACAATCTCAACTACGCTCTTGAGGAGTTTCAGAACCCCACGCGCAATTTGCCGCTGGCTATTCTCATTGCCATCCCACTAGTCATCACATGCTACCTGCTAGTCAATGTGGCCTACTTAGCGGTGCTGAATGTCGCCGAGATCATGGGAAGGTGTGACACAACATGCATCGTGCTTGTGTATGGTTCTATCACTTTGCTGCTGGGTTGCTGTAGACGACATATGCTATTCATGTTCATAAATGTAAGTCCCGAGAACGCATTACTCATATCATCTAGCATATACAAAACTCGAAGAAAAAAGTAGGTTTTTGGGATGGATATCTTAAGAGCTTCGCGATTGTCTTCAAAGTCACAGATACGCGCCTAATGTTAGTCTCTACGTTTAAATTCTCAATTGATTATCCGGCCTATATAATACCTTAACGTCCCCTTCTGAGAATCGGTCACTGGTGTGCCTGGGTATGTACCTTGATCAGACACCACTTTATATGGATGTGATGTACGTTTGTCATTGAAAATATGATCTCATTTCGAACATACACGATAATTATTGTTCCATTGGGTCCATGTAATTCTATCCGAATGAGCCCCAGCGGCCAACTCGACCGTATCAGCCGTGCTCTGAACCCCAATGTGTGTTTGCCGATGTACCTGTAACTACCAGCCACTACCCAGGCTCACCCATCACATGACTCCGCTCCATGCACAGTGAGACCGTGGGTGTGTCGTACGGCACCAAACTCGTGGGCCACTCGTGGGGGGGTACTTTGGTGTGCCTGTTCGTCGCCGTCTCTGCATTCGGGGCTTTGAACGGCAGTATGATTGGTGGGTCTAGGCTGACGCATGTGGCTGCCAGAGACGGAATGGCGCCTAGATTCTTGTATGGGCTTCATCCCACACGTCACACGCCATATAAGGCCATTATAGCCCAGAGTATGCTCTCGTGCCTGTACATCCTGCCAGGTGATTTCGAGCAGTTGTTGGCTTTCTTTTCCTTCGGCATGTGGATCTTCTATGCCTTGACGGTCATGTCTGTCTCAGTACTGCGCCGCAACAGGCCCAATATGGTGCGCCCCTTTAGGGTGTGGACTCCGCTGGTCTGGATTTTCACACTCGTGGCTTGGTTCTTGGTGATCAATCTGCTGGTGAGCCGTACTAAGGCCTGTGTGGCGTGTCTCGTGTTCTTAGCCGTTGGCGCTGGCGTTTACGGCTTCAAAAGTTACGGTAAGCGAGGGCTTATCTATTAGTTTGTGGAAGGATTTGATTTTTACGTATTTCTGCTATTAGTACACATCTATATGCTGCTAATGTGTCAGTAGAGTTTCCGGCGTATGGCTCTAACCATTCACTGTACTGTTTGTATCACAGGCAACACTCCCAGCGCCGGCGGAGACCGTTCCCCATTCATCCGAAGCTACACCAAAGTGCATCAGGTATGAGGTATAGTCCTTGCATTTTGTTCTATAAAGCTTGATCGGCTAATTGGCCTGGTCTCAGATTGATTCAATTGCTTGAGTTCTTCCGTGCCTGTGTACGCCAGGTGCTTTGAGTTTGTTCACTTGTGTGGCGTGTTTAACCGCAGATGATTTAGTACAGATGGTGTTGGCTCCTCCTGTATTGTGACTCACTGTCTGGCCATCTCTGGGCATCTGAGCTGTGCCCAAAGCCTTGGGCAACGACTGGCCATATTTTCATCATGAGTACTCGAAGTTATATTCGTGTATGATAGGCATGGATACGATCTCGTAATCTCTGCATGTACGACCGATTTGTGCTGCAAATCGGATTGTGAATTGGCGATATGGACGCATATAAGAGGTTACCGTGCATGTTGTGCAGTAAGAACGATCTCATTCGAAAGCCAAGTAGAACCAGCTAGCACCCCACATTAAATAGGGTTTACTAGCCCTGGGCTACATGCTTGCCAATAAATAGTACCTAGTATATTAGATAGTGCCTAGTATAATAAGTAGTACCTAGTATATTAAAGTATGCAGTGGTCTAATCGTGTGCTTGTTTCGATTACGGTTCGTTCCGCAACACAGCAGCCGGATGGAGATGATGAGGTAGAGACTGAGTTGGAATTGGAGGCCAGCCAGATACATGAGGCGTGAGTGAGTAAGCCTGATGATCTCCTTTGTGTCTCAGGACAATCCCGACTATCATAAATCACCAACTTGTGTGTCTCTTTTATCAAGGAGATCATATTTAACCTGGTTAAATTATCACGAGTGTGTGTGGGGGGTGGGGGGGTGCTTTGGGTTGTACTGAAGCGCCTATATCGCAATTCATCTTCCCGTGCTTTATAATGCGAGGCTGTCTGTGCCAAGTCAATACATAGACTATTACATTGACAAAAAGACACTGGACGCCACGAGTCGTGCGGCTGTTACTGTGAAACAGAATAACCAAATTGTGTATTCGACAGGACATGGCAAAATAGCATAGCCCTGCTGATGCACAACTCTCGCTGGCCCCTCCAATGACCTTCAGCCGTACTTGAATGCACACAAGTGTCCAATGTATCACCTATCCACAACACTACATACGCATTGTGAATAGACTGGCTGCCCTAGAAAGACTCCTACGCTGTGGTTCGTGGCACGTGGTCTCAGACGTATTGGCACGCAAATCACCAGGGTGTTGAGTTCAACTCACGGGAAATCGCCGTAGTGGTGGAATCTTGCACGACTGTAGTGGTGGACTGCATATCATCCTATACAATAGGCCCGCCACATTATCCTACACAATAGGGGTGATGTACGCGACAGGTGCGGTGTATATAGTGTGCGATAAAAACGTTAGCGTTCAGTCCAGACGCCAGCGTTCGTGGTAATTCCTACACTTAGACAACGTGTACTTAGTGGTACATTGAAAGCGATTAAAACAAACGAAAAGTCATAAGGTATCTGGTTTCATCGGCATGTTCCTCTAAAGTGTACTTAGTGATACTTTAAGAGCGATTAAACCAAACCAAAAGTCATGGGATATCTCGTTGTATCATGTTCGTTGGTTTGTGTATCCGTGCTGTTTGTTTATAGTGAAGTAAAACCATTTAAGATCCGGTTGGGGTAATGTGTAGATGCGCATACATCTACTATCAAGCAATACTTGGGTTGTCACCAACTTTTCCTTGGTCATTGCCTCGTATTTGTTTCTTGCGCTACGTATATCTACACCAGTACCACATGCAATTAACTTCGCGAACACCTTGCCGCATATCTTGAAATATGTATGTAAACGACTCGAGTGTTCTACGCTTCACCTGGACTCATTCGAACATACGAACATATTGATATTTTCTAGCTGTTTATGTCCTTTCATACAATACGTAGAATGAAAGATACTCAATACTAACTACCACTGCCTATTCCTATTCATACCCTATGTAGCGTTATTCTTGCACGTGTTCACCTGAAACAACTGTATATATACTATATATACCACAATATATATGTGTGCTATGGAGGCTACAGATTCATATACTTTAGATGTTCAAAAACCATACTGATGTTTGGTATTATATTTGTGCAGTTATTAGCAAACACACATATCAAGTTTCGACAAATAATACAGATATATACGATATAGGTAGCATTATACGCATACATACAGACGTATTTACTCGATTATAAAAATCCATGCGTGCGTGTCGAAACTGACGTACAGTTGGGAAGCACAGAGGGTCAGCGGACATCATTCTCATACTATAACTATACGACGATAGAATATATTACGTTGAAAGTTATGGATCAAATAAAGTGTATGTAAGTTAATATACGACCATAATTATCTATCCTCTTATTGCGTATACATAAACACTCGAGCCCGATAAAATTCTGAAGAATTGCAACACCCCCTATGCAGCCAAAAATAACGAATACAGTACTCATGAGTGCGTGTAAGGTCCACACTTTTTGCAACTATAGCATTCATAGCATCAGACGTTTTATTCTTCCTTGGATCGTTGTGCTGGCCAAGCGCCACAGAGATGACAGAAAGTCTTATCTCCTATTTCGAAGCAGCAACCGGCACATCCCTGTCCGAGCTCTCGCTTTTTGTCCAGTTTCACACCGTTGCGTCCAAAACACTCCTCAAACGCTCGGAAATTAACCAGATGCTCTTTGTTCTTCAGTACAAAGCCACGCTCAGCAGCCTCTGCTTGTTGGTTTTGAAACTCACTGTCTGACACTTTATCCTGCCAGTAGGGGTCTTTGCCGATCACAGTGATGCCCGACCCAACTTCAATCGGATCTTTGCGTCGCCATGACGACACAGTATCATAGGCCTCCCTCAGAATGATCTTCCCCGCAATATGCTCGATACTTTTACCCCGATGCACCAAGCAGATAGCGTGTGTGCCTATACAGTCGTCCCTGTGTGTATTAGCAAGAGCCCACTCCACTGTCTGTGGCTCTGTGTAGGGACTGTGCGACACCAACCCATACGCCTCTGCCAACTGTGCAGTGGCAAAGGTCCAGGTTTGACACATGGCGTCACGTTTCTCCTTCCACACCTGGGGTTCATCTTCGTATCCCCAGGTAAACGAATAACCGCCAAATAACTCGTCTGCGCCATCGCCCACTACCACGTGCTTGTAACCCAACGCATTGGCCTTCTGGAAGGCAGCGGCAATCACCAGACTATTGCGCAACGTCATGCCGTCGAATGTTTCCAGCAATTTCACAGCCATGGGTAGGTGTATGTCGATAAGCTCTTCGATCGAAATTCGAAGCAGATGGTGTTCAAGTGCATACTGTTGTGCAGCAGCTACAGAAAACCCTTCATCAGGACTAGCGTCACCTGTGACTACGGTAATACCACAACCAAAAGTTATGCCAAGTGTGCTGGCTGCTGCCAGAATAGCACATGTGTCCACACCTCCTGACAAGATAAGGCATCGTTCAGCTGCATCTGTACGTAAGGCTATATCTGCCAACGATGCCTCAAAAACACGTCTGAACGCAGGAGCCTGCGAGTCCTTGCCCATTATTACTGCGCTGCGATCTTGTTCTCTGTTTACTGTTTATGTCTCTAGAGAGAGCTCTAAAGAAATCAATCGAGCTAATACTATATATTTAGATTGCGCCGTCATCCTAATGAGCTTATTTATTTTACATAAAACATAGGCCCATTAGCCCCTTAGCCTTCTTCCTTCTCACTTTTCAAACAACTTTCAAATATATTTATGTGAAAATGACTTGATGCCTGATGTGTCAATTTAGAGGGCTATGCCTGATGCAGTGATGCCCCAGTAGGGTTACAAAACCTGTAACTAACTCAAATTTGAATATAAAAAGGCTATAGTAAACTCCGTCTTTTTAGATGGCTATGTATAAAACCCTTAAAAATAAATACACCAACCTGGTGGGGCTTGAACTAAAGGCTCTATATTGAACATATGTAGCCTTCTTCTAAATAAACAGCTATAAACCCCTACACCGAACCACCGCGTGGTAAAGAGATTG